CTTTCTACACCATAGCCACAGTGCCAAAGGCAGAGAATACTTTAAGGAGTCCAAGAACATATTTTAATTCCTTTTAAAATCAGAAAAAAAAACCTTGTAAGTCAAAGGCAGCATTTTATTACATATTAATTTTGTGGGAGTATTTGGCTAGTGATTGCTGTGCAGTGTTGCTTGGGACGCTCACAGCCCATATGGGAGTACCTGGGTTTGAGTCCTGGCTCCACTCCCAACTCCAGCTTCCTGCTAATGTACACTTGGAAGGCAGCAGTGATGGCCCAAGTGGTTGAGTCCCTGCCACCCACATGGCAGACCTGGATTGGATTCTCGGCTCCTGGCTCCAGCCTGGCCCAGCCTGGGTGGTTGTAAGCACTTGGAGAGTGAATCAGCGCATGGGCGATCTCTCTGTTTCTCTTTCAGTTTCTCCTCACCCTGCTTTCTCTCTGCTTTTTGAGTAAAGTAAACATTTAAAAATAGGAATTTTTGTCTCTATACCAATGCATTTATAAAATATTGCTTGCAATGTTTGATGGTAGAAGGAGTCCATGAAAGCCACACTGTGGCTCTGGCTAGACTGCACTGTCGTGGGGAAGGAGGAAGGGACTGTCAGCATGGGAAGGGACCTGACACCACTCCCAAGCACCTCCCCTCCTGCTCCGAAGCTGCTCTGGTTGCTGTCGCAACTTTGCAATGAGCCCCTCTCCTTCAGGGGCTGAAGCCCTCTTGCAACGCTGGCCTGGAGCTGACACTTGGGGATGGGACCCCAGGCAGGCTGGTCACTGATGGCATCTGGATAGTACTCACCTGGTTAATGCTATACCACACTCATAATGGGTAAATCCTTTGGCAGGGAGGGGAGGGGAGCCAACCCTTCCTGAGAACCGGCTTTATTTAAGAGCTCCGTTTTACAGATGGGGACAGCGAGGCTCAGAGAAGTTAAAAAAGCTTGTCCAAATGTCCTGATTAGTAAGTAATAGACATAGATCTATTGGAAGCGAGTTCTTATTCCCCAGATAGGTATCTTTCTCCTGCATGGGGCTATCTCTAGGTCCCTGGACAGAATGCTATCAAAGAGAGAACAAGCACTGAATGGGGGTGGAGCTAGACTCGGGATAAACCTTCCTGTCCGGGATTTCTGCACTTGTGGGCTCAAGCGTGGGTGGATGGAAAGGAAGCTGATAGGAACAGGCATTGTGGCACAGGCAGTTGAGGTGCCACTTGCCTGCATCCCATACTGGGAGTACTGGTTTGAGTCCCGGCTACTCTGTTTTTGATCCAGCTCCCTAATAATATGCCTAGGAAGGCAAGAGATGATGGTCCAAATCCATGGGCCCTTGTCACCCACGTGGGAGACCAGGGCTCCCGGCTCTGACCTGGCCTAGCTGTTGTGGCCGTTTGGGGAGTGAACCAGCAAATGGAAGAGTTCTACCTCCCTTTCTCTCTCTCTCATTCTGTCTTTTGAATCCATCAATCAGTATGGATATTATAAAAAGGAAAAGAAACCGACTGGGAGCTTAGCACAGCCAGAGCCGTTGCTTGGGCCGCGAGGAGAGAACTCGGCTCTGGGAGGCGGGACCTGGGCACCTCAGCAGCTGGCGCCCTGTGGCCTGGGAAAGGAGCCTCTTCTGCCCTCTGAGATGTAGCAGTCACACCAGTGAGGCTGCAGGAGGTGGACGCCATCCCCATCATTTCAGAACAGGATTCGTCTGTTCTTCGGTCCGTGCGAAGCTCATCTTCCGGGCTAGTGTGGAGGCCCCTTGGGAGCAGGCACCAGGTCTTTTCAGTTCCCAATGCAGTATTTCAGTCCTCGTTTTTGCCTCACTTGGGACCCCTTGGATCACCACTTACTTAACATGCCGCCTTAAGCTGACTTCCTTTTTAAAAATGCTACTCCTGTCCTGCACAATAGCAGTCACAAAATCACTGGCTCATTGATGAATCGACTCAGCCCGTCAGCTGCTCCTGGCTGCATGCCTGTGGGGTGGCAGGCACTGTGCTGGGGATGCGGCAGAGAACACATCCTCTTGGGAAAGTGGAGACTTCGCCAAGTGTCAAATGGAATTAAGAGGTAACTTTGTTTTGGTGTGAAACATCTTTGACATCCTTGCGTACCTGTCATACCGTGCCTTGCCCGTGAACTTTCCGAAGACACCCTCTTACATGCGGAAGATAATTTCAGACAAGGATGCAACTCTGCAGAAAATTTGGCAGGGTCACTTATGAGATCAAAATTTGTGATCCACAGCAAGAAAGTGACTTTACATTGCAGCTCACCATTCAGAAAAACGTATGCAAAAGAGAAACAAAATGTTGAGTCACAATACTTACCTTCACGCATGTGACATACTCCGATGCTTCTTTTTTCATCTACCTTCTTATTTCTTAAAAATATGGGTTAATTTATTTGAGAGGGAGAGAGATCTTTCCCATGCTGATGTACTCCCCAAAGCTGGCTCTGGCAGAGGTTGGGCTGCGGCTGAAGCTGGGAGCTGGGAAATCGATCCTGTGTGGGGGACAGAGACCCAATTCCTTGAGCCATCACCAGATGCCTGCCTGGGTCTACAGTAGCAGGAAGCTGGAATTAGATGCTGGAGGTGGGCGTCAAACCCAGGTACTCTAACGGGGAGCACCAGCATCTCAACAGCCAGGCTAAATGCCTACCCTCTTTTTTCATTTTCTTTTTATTTGTTTTGATGATTTATTTATTTGACAGTGTAACAGAGAGGGAGAGGGGGAGAGAGAGAGATGGATCTTTCATGTGCTGATTCACTCCCCAAGTGCCTGTAACAGCCAGGGCTGGACCAAGAAGAAGCCAAGAGCCAGGAACTCCATCTGATTCTCCCTTGTGGGTGGCAGGGACCCAGATAATCGAACCATCATCTGCTGTCTCCCAGGCACATTAGTGGAAAGCTGGATCCAGACTCAATACCAGGCACTCCTGTAAGGGATGAGGGCATCTGAAGTGGTAGCTTAACCTGCTGCATCTTTTTTTATTTTTAAATATTTATAAACCACCAAAGACAGATCTTATCATCCACTAAGATATTGCAGCCTTTAATTTGAAAAACTCTAGAACATTAAGGGTTTTAGATAGGGTAGCCAGGAAAAGACTCTCAGAGCAAATGAAGCTTGGGCAGAGTTAACAGAGATGAGAAGGACGGAGCTACAGGAAGGTCTAGGGAAAAAGCCTTCCTGGCAGAGGGAACAGCAGGTGGAAAGACCTAGAAGTGGGGTTGAAATTGGGTTGTGTGTGTGTGTGTGTGTGTGTGCTATCCACAGCCCATGCGTTCTAATAGAGACAAAAATCCTTTCGCAACACTTGGCATAGACAGCTTGCTTTGTAAACTGTGTGCATAGTTTCCTGTGGCTGCTGTCACTACCCACCACCAACTAAGCGGCTTGAAGTCACACAGACGTCGCTGTGGCCCGTTCTGGAGATCAGAAGCACCATGTGGGCTGGCCCGGCTGCTTCCCCTCTGGGGGCTCTAGGAGAGAATATACTTCCTGGCCCTGCCCATCTTCTAGAGGCTGTCTGCAGTCCTTGGCCGATGGCCTTGTGTCACTTCCACCGCTGCCCCTGTCCTCACGGGCCTTCTCTGACTCGGGCCCTCCTGCTCCCCTGGAGCACCCACGGTCATGGGTGGTGAACCTGAATCTGCTTGAGAAAGCTACCTCCTGCCGTAGGTTCTGGGGATGAGGATGTGGCCACTTTTGGGCAGGGGCACCAGCAGCCTCCACACTCCCTAGGGTCATCCTGGGAGGTCCCTGGGTGAAACTGCCTCTGTGTGGGAGACTCTCCAGCGAGGGCCAGGGATTTTACCAATGTGCTCCGTGTGGTGGGAGCTTGATCTGTGATGCTGCATGGTTAGCAAACGAGATCTGGAAAATGCCCACTCTGTTTACTCTCCTTGCAGGAGACTGCTGACCTGCCCAGGTTGGTGGGGGGCGGGGAACTCTGGAAACCACAGGCTCAGCTCCCTCCACCCACAGAGGAGGAAAAGCATGGCAGATCCACACCTCTGCCATCTCAAGGGGTGCTTCAATCCCAGCTCACTTTTATAGGGTTGTCCTACTCTTGAAAAAGATGATTCCCCTTTTCTCATTTTATCTTCACCCCACTGATAAAGGGCAGGCACTTGTCTTCCCATTTCACAGATGAGAAAACTGGGCCCAGAACATGAGTCTCCTGACTCTGCTTCTCATCCTAACTCCTTCCATTCAACTCTCTAGCGTCCACTTCAAGGGTTCAAAAGATCTGAAACCCCAGAGGGCTTCTGAGGTCTCACTGGAGTGGAGAAGGAAGCATTGTATGTTGTGTAGTACCCAGGAGCAAGAGCAGGCAACCGTATGAAGATAAATTCAGTCCAGCCTACATCCGGTTCTCAGAATCAGCATCAACAGGGACCCGCTTCCTCATCCTTCCATGTTTCTTAGCAGAAGCCAGACTTGGGGACTGTTAACTTTATTGAGACTATTTTTGGGTTAGAGGTTTAGCCACAGGCATTGGAGACCCTGCCAGGCAGACCCCACACTGAAGTCTGCCTCCTCTCCACCTGGGGCTGCTGCTCCCCAGAGGGCTCGGGAGCGGGGGCGGGGGGAGGTGGCTGCAGAGAAAGGAGCCCTGGGTCTTAGAGTGGGGGTGGGGGTGCTGGTGTAAAGGAAACCTACAGCGAGGACCCCTCCCCTCCAGGAGATAAAACCAAATTATGTACGTTCTAAATGGCATTCTCCGGCCTTTTGCTAGGACAGCGCAGCAGCTCGGAGCCCTTGCATCTGTTTCTCCTTTTAGGATAGGAACCAAGCGACTATTTACAGACTCCCAGGCCTGTCACCAGTTACATCTTCTCAGAGCCCCAGTCCCCGCTGTCCCCTCGCCCCCACCCCTGGCCAACTCTCTCCACATTTAGGATTAAATTTCCTGGCGGACGGCGGTGGCTGCCCTCGTTGGTGATTTATTTATTCAGTTGGATGATTTTTCATCTCTGGCCGGGTCAGTGCAGGCCTCCGCGTCCACCTTCTGATCACTGGGAAGTGACCCTGTGGGGACCCTCCCCACACTTGCCCCTGGGGGCCGGGTGCATTCCTTTAGGCGCCGGGAGGCGGCCTGTCTCCCTGGCATCCCTCGGCACCCGCTGCCGCCGCCCCTGCTGCCGGAGGTGACAGGGCTTCCTCCGGGAGATGAGCGAGCACAGCTGGGTGACGTCACTAGGAATGCACAGGGGCCTGGGCAGGGGCCCGGAAGGGGCTGAGAGAATGTCATTGGGAGCAACTGGACGGCCCCTTTTCTCATTTGCCTTTGGAGACAATCTGGTCATGCAGGGATGCTGGCGGGACAACCTCTGGGCCACTCCCTCCTTGCTGCCTACCTGGCCCACACCCCTGTTTCTGGGGCCTCTATAACCAACAGGCCACCAGCCTGGGCCCTGACCCTGGTCCCGCTCCTGGCTGGCTCTGTGGCCTTGGGCATGTCATGCAGCCTCTCTGAGTGGGAGATGTCTGATACAGTGCAAACAGCAGGCCCCACCTAGTAGGGTTTAGGTGATAAGAGAACCAATACCTTTGGCGTTCCCAGCACCCCATCTGACACACAGTACAGCCTCATAGCTTTTAGCTACTAGTGAGTGATACTCTTCGTTGAATAAGCAAGTTGTGATCTTAGAACTCAAGGGTAGAGGCTGTGGATGAGACATTCAATTCAACTCCACAGATCCTTGGGTCTCGAGTTTGGGTCGGGAAGATGCTGGGTGCTGGGCCATGGTGGACCTTGGGCTTGAAACTCACAGAGAACTCATGGATGAACCCAGTGATTTATCTGTAAAGGGGGGTGAGGCACTTCTCACTGGCTGTCGAGTTTTGGGCAGACAGTGTAAGAGCAGCTCAAGCCCCGGTGAGAATTCTCCATTAATATATTGGGTTATTCTTCCTATTAATGGAATGAGCAACTATTAGGATTTGATAATAATACCTAAAATACTATAATGCTTATAATAATGAGCCCTGCTGCCTGCACTTGGGGGAGTGCAGTGTTTAGTGGGTAGGTGGTTAAACACAAAGATAGCAAGAGAAGAGAAGGCACTCAGGCCAGTGGATTCTGGGTTCAGTCTTCCTTGGGATCACTCTCCAGTGTGTGGTCTCCAACAAGTTTCTCCACGACTCCTCATCCCTGTTTTCTGACCTGTAAAGTGCAGATGATCGTAATACCTACCTTGAAGAGTTGCAATGAGGGTGATATGTAATATTCTTTGTCACACTATTATAACATGGGACACCCACCTGCGGTAAGTGCTGCAGACTCCATCAGCTTTCACTGTCACTGGGCAGCCATGACTACTGAGTGGGTCTTGGAGAGGAGTCTCTGGAGGAGGGATGCTGGTGATGGTGGGCTCTGAAGGCTAAGGGAGACGTTTCCAGGTCTGGGTGGGGTTGAGGTGGGACTTCCTGGCAGAGGGGACAGTGTCAGCTAGAAGGTTGGAAGAAGTGGTTTGTTTGGAACATGCAGATCCATGCCAATGGCAGGAGAGTTGGAGGAAGTGAAGGCAGAAGGCAAAGGCTCTGGGGATTGCGGACAGGCGCTGGGGTTCCTCTCCTGGAGGTGGCAGCAGGCCTGCAGCTTGGAGAGAGCAGCCGGGCTGCAGCGTCAGGGATGGAGTGCAGTCTTGGCTCCCCATCCTGCCTGCACACTGGATCTCCTGGGGTGCATTAAATACCAGCACCAAGATCCTGGACCCAGGCAGCATCCAGGCATTCGTTCAGCCCACATTGGGGACTTCGCGACTGGAGGAAGAGCGAGGCAGCAGGGAGAGCGGCTGGAGGCCATCACCAGGCCGTCTACAATGCAGAGGTGACACAGCCTGGACCTGCACAGCAGAGTGGTGATGGGGCAGGGGGAAGAGGCAATGCAAGAGAGGTTTTATGACCCATGTTGGCAGATGGGATTGAGAAGGTGGCCGGGAGCTGCTGGTGTTTCCCGGGAAGGCCGTTGGCCTGCTGGCTAGGGCATGGAAGCTGACTTTGCATGAGTGTAGGAGGCAAGAGAGCTGCTGTCAAGACCCAGTGGTTCTGGGCATGTGCACTGTGTGACAAGCGCTGGGGAATGTGAGCTAAGCCAGGGAGGATTCCCAAGGTCTCCCCCCACCCCCAACTGACGAGGTTGTAACTCCATCCTCCTCCTCTGTAGATAGTGCTAATTCACCAGACGCCCTCCCAAGGCAGACTCTGATGTCACGGGTTAGCCGCCCTGCTCGGGTGGGCTGGGCCTGGGTGGGTGGGGGTGCAGGGGCAGGCTTGTCAGCCTTTGAAATCAGAGCTGATTGTTTTTAATAATGTCAGATTAAAAAATTCATTTCTCATGTTGGTGCTTTGGCAAACATTTCTCAGGCAGGGCAGGTGGTCTGTTTCTGGGCCTCCAGGGCTGGGTGGCCCAGCCCCAGAACACTGGCCTAATCCCCTTTCACTTTCAAGGCCCACAGACACCCGCCAGTCACATGAGGTCATGGCTCGGGGGCTCCGTTCCCTAATGGCTCCCGAGTCCCTCTTGTTATGGCTAAGCTAGAGGCTCGGCGCGGGGAGGGGGCCAGGCTGGGGTCTACGTGTCACTGTCCCTTTGTCGTCTCTGGGGCTGACTTTGCTTTCCCTTCCAGTGCACCCCTGGGCCCTTGCCTTTAAGTCTGGGAGCTCAGGCGTGCATGCCTGTGTGCACATGCATGGTTACATGTGTGTGCGTGTGCATGTGGGTGTGTTAGGTGGGAAACAGGGAGCCCCAGGGAAGAGAAATCTGCTAAGGATCCGTAGGCCAGCTCTCTGCTGTGGCCAGGGAGTGCAGTGGAGGATGGCCCAAGTCCTTGGGCCCTGCACCCCATGGGAGACCAGGAGAAGCACCTGGCTCCTGTCATTGGATCAGCGCGGTGCGCCGGCAATGGCGGCCATTGGAGGGTGAACCAACGGCGAAGGAAGACCTTTCTCTCTGTCTCTCTCTCTCACTGTCCACTCTGCCTGTCCAAAAAAAAAAAAAAAAAAAAAAAAAAGAGTGGCATAAGCTTTGGGCAGGGAGTCAGGAGCAGTGAGGGCTTCCCCCTGGGTTGGTGCCTTTCTCACTTAAGTCTACTGCCTCTTGTCTTTGGCCCCACTTGCTCACTTCTGTAAAATACGAGGTTAACTATCTCCATGCCTGCCATCTCTCCTACCATCTTATGGTTTCTCAAAGTTGGTTTTTGGCCGATGATGGGCTGAAGACCCGAAGAACTGAGCTCTGTATAGGGTGTTTCTAGTGGGGTTTTAGGACAACGCTGAAGGAACATCACAGAGGGGATGTCAGCAAGGAGAAGAACAAGCCCTTGTTGATGTCTAGTGTCTGTAGGTAGCACTTGAGGCCTCTACACTCTTGGCACACCACCTGTTTGCAGCAGTCATGAGAGATAGGTGTTAGAAGCCTATCCTACAGATGAGGAAATTGAGGCCTGGGGGAGTTAAACTTTCTCAAGAGAAGGAAATTGGATTTGAGCCAATTCTACCTGGCCCTGAATTGCAGTCCATGTGGGTGCTGTTGCTGTGTTGCTTGTTCTTGTAGTTTCTCTGTTGATCTCAGTAGCTATGCAGCGCGACGCTGGGAGGTTGGCACTTCAGGGATGAGGAATCCGAGACGACCCTCCCTTGAGACAGAGCAGCTGGTCGGTGGTGGGGTTGGGATTTGGGTCCCTGTCTTTCTAAGTGTAGAGTTTGTGAACAAAAAGTCAGGAAAGGTGGAGACCCTAGGGAAACTTCCTGGGACATGTGGGGGTGTCCCCCACCTGCCAATCGTGGGGCCTGCCTTTTAGGGCAAAGCGGCATCTCTCAGAGCCTCTGCTCAAGGGGCTGCCAAAGAGGACTCTGCCTCCTGCCCCCACCCCAGCCCCTCAGACAGGGTGGAGATGGAGGTGATTCAGTGGTAGCCAACACAGAGTCACTCAGGGCCAAGGAAGTGGTTTGGAGAAAAAGGATGAGTTGGTGCATGATGATTTCCTCTCCAGAGAATGAAGCTTGGCAGTGATGGGAGAACAGGGCAGCAGGCAGAGGACACTGAGGCTGAAAGTTTGTAACGTACAGAGAGGGGTAGAGAAGCCCACTGGGCCTTCTGTAACCCGAGCCCAAGGCGGCAGACAGCACGGGAGGCAGAAGCTACGGGTGGAGGAGTGGCATCCAGCTGGAAGCAGGAGGCAGTGCAGGCAGGAGGAGGCAGGTGCGCCTGAGCCAGCAGTGCCGGGGCTGTCCCAGGAAGACCAAGCCTCCAGTTCTGGAAGGGACCTGGCTTTCCTGCTTCCGGTTCTCATGCTTGCATTCCCTGCGAGAGTCCTCTCCTGCAGCTGTGCCTGTGGGGCTCACTCCTAGCACCCCCTGCATTCTTAAGATTTAAGATATGTTCTGAGCCTGCAGTCTACAAAGCTTGACTACAGCACTTGAGCTTGGCTGGGGAGTCTGGGAGAGAACGAATTAGAGATCTGATTTTAGTCTAATGCTCTGACCTGCGCTGCTCCCCAATGTCCAGGGGGATGACAGCTCTCTCCTGCAAAAATTCTTCACGTACTTCCGTAAAATGGAAACTAGAAAGTTGGAGTCTGGGGCAGACAGAAAAGGAAGGTAGTTGAATAAAAGGAAATTTAGAAGACATGTGGCAGCATGTGCTGGGGATAACAGCCCTACCATCATTTATTGAGATCTCCAGTGTGCCTGGTCTCCGTGAGATCTGCCCGTGTCTGCAGCTGCGTCTACAGCGATGTCCTTTTATTCCCACGACCTCCCTATGGTTCAGACAGTAGCTAACCCCAATTTACAGGTGAGGCTCACAGAGTCTTGTCAGCTGGGAAGCCTGCACTGGAACCCACGTTTTTGTTCCGAGGTCCTGCACAGTTGCGAAAGGAAAGATGCAAAATCAGACCTGAGCATTCTTAGTGGATGATGCAGAAATGAAGACAGGACCTGTCATGTGTCCCTGGCCCCTGCCACTTGCTCCCCTCCCTTGACACAGAGGGGACAATCCCCATGGTGTTCTGGGCGGGGGGTATGTGAGTGAGGCAGGGACGCTCATGAGACCCCGGACCCCAGGAGCAATGCTGGGCATGAGAGCCCTGGAGAAGGCAGGGAGTGGAGCTTACCATGGAGTGGGGGCGCCCTTCCCACAGACACACAGGGAGCAGCTGTGGTGATGAGGCCTGAGGAGGTTAAATGGCTTCCCTCCCCTCCCCTCTCCTTCCCCCCCCTCCCCTCCCCTCCCCTCCCCTCCCCTCCCCTCCCCTCCCCTCCCGCTCCTTCCACTCCTCCTCAATCTTCCCTCCCTCCCTCCCTCCCTCCCTTTCTCCCTTTCTCCCTTCCTTCCTTTCTTCCTCCGTCCGGAGAGATTAAGGAAGAAAATCACCAAGCATACGGGCCACCTTTTGTTGTCTATTTAAAACAAAATAGTTCCATCAAGTGCATTCTCGGGACTTAGATCACCTATTTAACGGGAGGCTTCGTATGCAGGCAATCACACTAAGTTTAGCACCGGAAACAAGGCCATCGGCAGTTCTGGGAGGCGGCACACACACGGATGGCCTCTTAGTGTGCATCCTGAAATTCAATCACGAGCCCAAGGATGTTGGGGGTGGGGCGGGGCTTATATGGCCTGGGTGCTGTCCCTGGCTCCTTCAACCTCTGCTCTGAGTCTCTGTGTCTACCCTGGTCCTTCGCTGCTGGCTGCTGTTCCCCTCCCTTTGCTCCCCAATGCGGGCCTAGCTTTGTGCGCTGTCTTGATCTCACTGTCACTCACAGCTTCTGGGTGGCAGCCATTCTCCCGCCAGAGGGCCACCAGCGCAGACTCAAGGCGTGGGCTTCAGAGTCGTGGAGAGCTGGGATCTGATGCTATTTGTTGGGTCTGTGGCTGAAGGCAAGCCGTGCCACCCCCGGGAGCCTGAGATCTATGTCACAGAGCATGACAGACAGAGCAGTCAGCACCGGCTGGTTGACAGGCGCCACACAAAGGCTGGCCGGTGTCATCCCGCTGGAGGGTTCTGACCGCATCTGCACAGGGGCTCCGGGAGTGATAAAGGAAAACCTTGTCTTTCTACCACGCATGCTCCAGCCTTTTTACACGCTAGCCATTCTGAGGCCTTAGGCTACTCGCAGTGCATTGATAGGGCAGACCGAGGCACAGGAGGAGAAATGAGGACAGCCAACATCACCGCCGGCACGTGGCGCGGTCTGGACTCGAACCCAGATCTCCTGACTCCCGGTTCCGGAAAGCGGTGCGGGCGGTGGCTTTGATCTCCGGAGCTGCTGTCCAACAATGTGCCACGGGGAAGACGGGGCGGGTGGGGGGGGGCGGGCAGAGGCGCGCCCCTCCTCCCCGAGCGAGCGCGGTGGCGCGGAGGAATCCAGGCGGCTGGCTTGCGCTCATGCTAGAGGAATGCCTTGAGAAGTCGTGCCTAAGCCCTCTGTATCTGACTCATCATCTCCCCGTCTCCAGGAGTGTCAGAGAAGAGCTCCCTTAATCCCTGCTGTCCTCGGTCCCAGGCTTTCATTTGTCAAACTAAAAATACTCCCTCCGGGAACCTCCTTTTGCCAGGGGCTGCAGGAGGTCTGAGGGGGATGGCGTTTCAGTGTCACTTCCTGACAGCGCCTTGTTATTGTCCCCCGGGGCCAGGGGAGCCGAGCTGGGCAGCAGGAGCAGCAGCGAGGGCCTCTGTGGTTCTTGGGAAAGGGCCAGCCGCTCACCTTTCTCCTGCAAGTTGGCTCCCTTTCTCCTTCTCTCCAGACTCCGGACAATAACCCATCAGCTCGACAGCCAGCCTTGCCCCAGTCCCTTGCGGCTGTGTCGTGATTCATGCCAAGTGAGGACGACAGAATGCCAAGTTCATTTCCTTTGCAGCCCGAGGGCAGGGTGGGCTGGCAGGGTTTGTACTTGTCTGCGAGGCTAGTCTACTTTACTGATAGAGGGACACAGTGCTTGAGGGTAAACAAGAAGGAAAAGCCCTGGCTTCCTAAGTAAGACAGGTGGGCTGCGGCTCCCCACGTAGGACAATGACATCTCGAGGAGCCGTCGAGGTCCAGCTCTTGTTTCTTTCCTTCCTTTATTCTGCCACTCCTGCAGCCTCTTGGTCCTTAACACTGATCCTGAGTGTTCATGACCTTGACTTGGCTGGAAGCCTTGGCTCATAACGGTAGCGCTAAGGACCTTGTGAGGATGCCCACTTGCTTAGTGGAAATGAAACAGAAACCAGAGGGGCACAGGCTTTGGATCCTGGCTGCATCCCTGGTTAGCTGTGTGAGCTTGAGTGAAGGGACCTCATCTCCCCATCAGTGTACCTGTCCTTATCACTGGATGGTAACGCCCACGACACTGGGCTGCTCTGAGGGTTACGCAGGGCAGTGTGTGTAACGTGAATCATATAATACCTACCGCGTGGTGGAGGCGTGACTCGTCATTATCATCCTTCCTTGGAGACCTAGCCTCAAAGGCCGTCACATCGTTGGCATCAGAAACCTTGGTTTTAGTTTCAGCCCTGCCAGTGACAGACTGTGCCTCTAGCAGGTCCCCTACCATCTCTGAGTCAAACGTGCTCATTCGTATACTGGAGTTTGGGCTTGATTTCCTCTGAGATGATGATGATTCTTCTTCTTCTTCTTCTTCTTCTTCTTCTTCTTCTTCTTCTTTTTAAGATTTATTTTATTTACTTGAAAGACAGAGTTAAAGAGAGAGGTAGAGACACAGAGAGAGAGGTCTTCCATCCATGGGTTCACTCCCCAGATGGCTGCAATGGTCAGAGCTGTGCCGATCTGAAGCCAGGAGCCAGGAGCTGCTTCTGGGTCTCCCACATGGGTGCAGGGGCCTAAGGACTTGGGCCATCCTCTGCTGCTTTCCCAGGCCATAGCAGAGAGCTGGATCGGAAGTGGAGCAGCCGGGACTAGAACTGGTGCCCATATGGGATGCCTGCACTTCAGGCCAGGGCGTTAACCCGCTGTGCCACAGCACCAGCCCCTGAGATTCTTCTTAGATCTAATGTTCTGGGGTCTTGGAGATACCTGGGGGTAAATGTTCACAGAGAATTTCAATCTCGTAGAATATGAGAATAATCTAAGTACTGACTGTGGCCTGTATTGGGGCCCCAAAGTGACTGTCTGGAGATGCAACACTTGGAAAATAATTAAGGTTGAATGAGGCCATCAAGGTGAGGTCCTAATTTGGTAGGACCTTACGAGAGGGGGGAAGGAGAGAGAGAGAGAGAGAGAGAGAGAGAGAGAGAGAGAGAGAGAGAGAGACTGAGAATCCCTTTCCTTGTCTGGTGAGGACACAGTGAGAAGGCAGCCATCTGCAAGCCAGGAAGAGAGCCCTCACCAGAAACTGAGTCACGCTGAATTTTGGTCTTGTCTTGCCAGCCTCCAGATTGTGAAAAAGTAAAGGAGTATTGTGTAAGCCACCAGTCTATGGTGTTTTGTGCCAGCAGCTGAGCTCACATACTGTGGAAGGGAGCCTGCCAGGGGAAGGCGCACGGAGGCAGAGGCTAGAGCACATGGCATGGCCTCCAGAACACAGAGACAGAGCCCTGCAGGCAGAGGGAGAAGCCACGCCCACCCAGCAGACTGCACTCAGGACTCACCAGAACGCTGCCCTGCAAAGAAGGAACTTCATTTTCTATCAGGAGTAGTGATTAGTAACCCAGGCTCTGCAATAAGATGAGTTTGAACCTCAGCTCTGCAGCATGCCAGCTGTGTGACCCCAGATAAATTCATTGACCGCTCTCTCATTTCCACACCTGTCAAACAGGGCACTGCTGCCCCTTTCTAACTGTGTCGTGCAAATGTGATAACCTGCAGCTGGTGCACACAGACTAGGCACCTGACAAATGTTGGCTTCTAGAGGCAATCATATTAATAGATAATCAACCCTTCTGGGATTTTTATTAGGCACAAGTGAGCCACCTGGAAGCTGGTAGCGGCCCAGATAACCACAGTCCACCTCTGGCACATAGAGGCACTGGGGTCCCTTGGTACCCCTGATGGTCTCAGCTCTGGCTCATCCTCCCTGTTAGCCCTGGAGAGCTCCTTTGGGAGGCCCTGCATGTCCTTTCTGCTCAGGCGGTCTCACCTAGCAATCTCAACCCTTCAGGTGTTTGAACAACCTTGAATTCAGCAAAAGCATTGCTCTAACAGCCTTTTTAACAAATGGTGCTGGAACAACTGCCCTCTCACATGCAGAGAAATGAATCCAGACACAACCTTTGCACCCTTCACAAGAATTCGCTCAAAACGGATGACAGGCTTATATAGAGCACAAAACCTTGAAGCTTCTAGACAATACCTTGGATGAAAACCTAGATGGCTTTGGGAATAGTGATGACTTTTAAGGTACAAGACCAAAGGTATGACCCACAAAAGAGACGACGGGTAAGCTAACTTTCATTAAAGTACACAACTCCTAGTCTATACAAGACACTATGCAGAGGCCAGGAGGAAATATTTGTGAAAAATACATCTGATAAGGAACTATTACCCCAAAATATACACAGAACTCTAACAGTTCAACAATAAGAAAACAAATCTGGCTTGAAAATGGTCCAAAGACTTTAACAGACACCTTACCAAAAAAAGACATGCAGATGGCAAGCATAGCAAAAGATGCTCCCTGTCATTTGTTGTCAGGAAAATGCAAATTAACACCACCATGCATATTAGAATGGCCAAAATTCAGAACTCTGACAACACTAGATACCAGTGAAGAGCAACAGGGAACTCTCATTCATTGCCAATGGGAATGCAAAGTAGGTGTGGAGACTTTGGAGAACACGGTGGCAGATGCTTGCAGAACAAACGCTTTCTTTTTTTGTTTTTAAAGATTTATTTATTTGAAAGAGAGAGAGAGGGAGAGGGGGAGAGAGAGAGAGAGAGAGAGAGAGAGATTGAGATTCCATCTGCTGGTTCATTCCCCAAATGGCCACAATGGCTGGAACTGATCTGGAGCCAGGAGCTTCTTCCAGGTCTCCCACATGGGTGCAGGAGCCCAAGGACTTGGGCCATCTTCCACTACTTTCCCAGGCTACAGCAGAGAGCTGGATTGGAAGTGGAGCAGCCAGGACTTGAACCGGTGCCCGTATGGGATGCCAGCACTGCATGGAGCTGCTTTACCTGCTATGCCACAGAGCCGGCCCCACAAAATGTATCCTTACCATGCTGTCCAGCCATTGAACTCCGTGGTGTTGACCCAAAGGCACTGCAAAGTCATGCAGCACAAAATCCCGCACACAAGTATTGTAAGCAGTCTCATTCATAATCACCCAAACTTGGAAGAAACTGATGCCCTTTGTAAGGTGAATGCATACATAAACTGTGACACATCCAGGCTATGGACCATTACTCAGTGTTGAAAAGAAATGAGATGTCAAGCCATAGGAAGACCTTGCGGACCCTTAAATGCATCTTATGAGTGAAAGAAGCCAACCTACAAAACATGCACTTACCGTGTGATTCTGGCTATGACATTCTAGAACTATGGAGATAGTACAAAGAGCAGTGGGTTCCAGGGTTGGTGGTATGCAGGAGGGGTGAACAGCTGGAGCGTGGAAGATATGGAAGGTGGTGAAATGATTCTGCGTGATGCTGAGCTGGTAGGTACATGTCACGGGACATGTGCATTGATCAAAATCCATAGATGGGGCACCAACCTGAATGTAATCCATGGGCTGTGGAGGAGGTTCATGGACTGAAGCAAACGTACCTCTGTGCTGGGGGATGTTGAGAGTTGGGGAGGCTGCACACATGTGGGGCCAGGAGATACAGCACATCTCTATACCTTCCTCTCAATTTTGCTGTTCACCTAAAAGTAAAGTCTTAAAAAGGAAGCACTGGGGCTGGCATTGTGGTGCAGTGGATTAAGTTCCTGCTTGTGATGCTGACATCCTATGTGGGTGCCAGTTCAAGTTCTGTCTGCTTCACTTCCCATCCGGCCCCCTGCTAATGCACCTGGGAAAGCAGTGGAAGACGGCCTAAGTGAGAGATCCAGATGGAGTTTCAGGCTCCTGGCTTTGGCCTGGTCCAGCCCTGGTCCAATTGGCTAGTGAACCGGGAGATGGAACATCTTTCTCTTTTCTCTCCCCCTCCTTTCATTCTCTCCTCCTCTCTCTGAAACTCTGTCTTTCAAATACATAATAATTTCTTTTAAGGAAAGCATTGATATCCATCTAGATCTCCTGGTCACTTGT